TCCTAGGTGATTCAAAAGCTAGTCAAGGTGACAGTGGAGATGAACCATCACAGCCCTGGTTTATGTATATCACATGTTTGCACAGTCAGAACATAGACACGAGGGGACTTTGCAGACACCAAGCCTGAGGAAGAAGGCTCAAGGCAGGGATGATTTGTCCAGGCCCCACAACTAAGGGGCAGCATCCATGGCCCCAGCTCTCTGTGTTTTAAAGACATGGTGCTGTGTCATGGGGGATGTTTGAAGTGCAGAGTTAGACTGTGATCGATTTCAGTTCTGTTGAGTCTGTGAGGCACACATAGCTCCAGACACCACTTCATTGATCTGGAAGAGCTCAGGGCTGAAAGTCTGACCCACAATTTGGCCTCGCAGGATGCAAGGGCTCAGAAATTCATGACAGCAACAGAAAAGAACTCCAGCAGGTACCACAGACTGAACTACATGTCCCCCAATTCACATCAGGGTCCCAAGCCTACAGAGTGACTGGGTCTGGAGATGGACACACAAGGAGGTAATTAAGTGACATACAGTCCCAAGGGTGGAGACTGATCCATAGACCTGGCATCCCCACCATGGAGGGACATAGCCAGAAGCAGTGTATACATGCAACCATGATCCACCAACTGAGTTCATGCAGCATTTGGGTCAAGGACACAGGCAGCCTTTCCAAGTACAGAGATAACTCAAAGCCCACCTGTGAAAATGTGACGTGATCATTCAGTGGGGAGTTATTTGATAACACCATGGCCAAGGCTTATAAAAGAAAACTTTTAATTGGGCTTATGGTTTAGGAGAGTGAGCGTCCACCAAGCAAAGGCATGGTGGTAGAAACAGCTGAGAGCTCACATCTTGGTCTTCAAGTAGGAGGCAGAGGGCGAACTGGGAATGAATCTTTTGAAAACCGCAAGTGATTTCACCTCTCAGTATTCCCAGTGATACACCTCCTCCAACAAAGCCACACCTCCTAATCCTTCCCAAAGGGTCCAACAAGCAATCAACGATGAGCCTATGAGGGTCATTCACATTCAAACCCCTGTAGGGGACACACCTAATGATTACACAATAGGGATACTACCTCTCAGGCTCTGCAGCTTCCCATCCTCCATCTACCTGCAAACCAATCAGTGACTCGGGAAATGCTCCAAGCATGGATCAAATGAGGCCACGGTTTCTGTCAGTTTGCTCAGAGACTTTCTTGTCAAGAGGCCCCATTTTCAATCTCCAAGGGACAGGTGATGCTTAGAACTTACTAGAATGAGAGATCAAGCCAGGAACCCTGAAAGCTGACTAACTATAGTGGCTGGAAAAACAGAGCTCTTCTGTCTCTAATCTCCCAGGGTGCAGTTGCCGCCCACCCACAGCTTTCAGAGCCCTTTCTTCCAGACTGCAAGCATGTGAACCTAGGGAAGGGAGAACCTGTGAATCTGTTCAAAGAGGCTGAAGAAAGGAAGCTGCTTCCCAACTTCCTGGCCCAGAAGTTGGGCCAGCCAAGGGCCATGGTGGTCTCCAGCAAACTGAGCTCCTGCTGCTACCAATGAACAGCCAGCCATAGGGCTGGTGGGTCCCTACATAGCCAAACACACTGAGGATTCCTCAGGCTAGCATGGAGCTTGCACCAGCAGCATGGCTCTCAGAGGCCCTGAGTAAGACATGCAAGCTTGCTCACTCACTCTGGGTCCCCTCGAGCTGTCATGGGGGCTACTGTTGTAGGAGCCGCTTGTTTGTTCCTGGCTGCTCAGCCCTCAAATAACCACACAGAAACTGTTCTAATTAAACCATTGTTTGGCCCATTAGCTCTAGCTTCTTATTGGCTAATTCTTACATCATAATTTAACCAATTTCTATTAATCTACATTTTGCCACATGGTTGTGGCTTACCAGCAAGTTTCCAGCATGTCTGTTCCCACTGGCAGCTACATGGCATCTAACTCTGCCTTCCTTCTCCCAGCATTCAGTTTAGTTTTCCCCGCCTAGCTCTACTCTTTTGCCCTACACAGGCCAAGACAATCTCTTTATTAACCAATGCTATTCACAGCATACAGAGGGGAATCCCACATCACCTCTCCCTTTCTGTCTAATCCCACATCACCCAAACAACCTGACAGGTGGGCTTTATCATTTCCATTTCATGGAATCAAGCATAGCAGACAGGAAGTAGTTAATTAGTCCTGGTAATTAGTCCTGGGTCACACAAGAGATGCAGGGCAGGATGTGAAGCCCAGGCCATCTTGGCTCCCAGGTATCATGGAACTGGAGAGCTGGGTTTTCTTACTGTGAACTCAGTCCCAAGGGCTGACAGCTTCTGGTCTCAGAAATATCAGTTTCTCCCTCTGTGTTAGTGATGAAATATCTGACGTGAAGCACTTGAGGAAGGATGGGTTTATTTGGGCTCATGGTTTGTGGACATAGTCCATCCTGCTGGGGAAGGTAGGACAGGAGCTGGCCTAGCCATGGCAGCAGAAGCCTGAGGTAGCTGCTCTCCCACCATATCCACAGTTGAGAAGCAGACAGACGAGAGCTGGAGTTCTTTTTATTTAGTCCAAGACTCCGGCCCACAGTTGATGCCACCAACAGCTAAATGACTCTTCTTGCCTTATGTTAAGTCAATCTAGAGACTTCCCCACAGACATGCCCACACGTTTGTCTCCTAGATGAGTCTAAGCCCAGTCAAATGGTCAGTGAAGCCTAACTGTAGCAGAGGATGTCCTTGGAGCCTCACTCCAACAACCCCAGGCCCCAGACCCCAGGCACACACTCCAGTGAGCTTAAGCTCAATGAACAAGAAGATGGACAGGCACTGAATCAGAAAACAGAGAGGAATAGACACATGTGTCCATGGGTGTCTGCATTGCTCAAATTCCAGGATGTTCTTCAGCTGCTGAAGGTTCCTCTCCTCTAGCTGCCTGGAGCACCCTTCAGTCCCCTCCCCCATACAGCTTAGCTCCAGGTGGACATTCTCATACAAACATTTCTGGGTGGAGAGGGTCTTATGCTATAGCAAGAGCCCCAAACCTAAATAAGCCAAAGCCCCAATAACAGCTCCATAGAGCAGTCATAGAAAGCAGGAAACATGCAGCTCAAATACCTGGAAATTAATAAGCAAAAGGTGGCCCAAGTGGTCAGGGTCTGGATGATCCATTCTGTACTGGAAGGGAGGAAGTGGTGTGCTAGAGGGTGGGACAGGTGTGTGTGTGTGTGTGTGTGTGTGTGTGTGTGTGTGTGTGTGTGCGCGTGTCTGTGTATCTCTCTGTGTGTCTGTGTGTTCCTTTGGGAGGAACAAGGAGCTTCTTGCTCTTTGTCTCAACCCAAGAGGTGCTTGGCAATATTCCGAGGCCTTTTAGATGGTCACAGCTGAAGACAGAATTCAGGGACAGTGTCAAACATCCTACCATGCACCAATGCCCCCACTGCAGCTACTCAGCTCAAGATGTCCTCGGTACCAAAGTGGAGGTCCCTGTTGTAGGGAAGGATCTGGATTTACCATCTAAGCCATACTAACAAACATCACCCTGGCAGCTGTTCTCTGCCAGGTGCCTCCTGGTGCTGACAGAAGGTGATGTGTGTGTGTGTGTGTGTGTGTGTGTGTGTGTGTGTGTGTGTGTGTTGGAGGGGTACTTAGAGATCCAATAGCAGTGCAAGAGGGGATGCTGGGAAGAAAAAGTTTAGGGAGTGAGAGAGTCAGACCCTGGAGATGTCAGCAAGGAAAAGGCTGCAGAGGGAAATTATGATGAACTCTGTGCATCATCATAATAATAATTTGACTGAATTATTCAAGGTGAAAGGGTAGGGGCAATAAAGTTTCCCACATTTTGTAATGGAAATACACATACCGATAAGGTGAGAAAAATATTTTCATGGTCACGAACTCTAGGGCTGTTTTACGACATGGATGTTATATCTTGAACTTGAAAAACAATTTCAAAATACAATAGCTTGGCGTGCAGTGGAAACCCAGCCACTTCTCACCTGTACCATTAATTGGTACTGGCAAAAGCATTAAATCGCGTCTTCCAAAGAGAGACTGGGAAGCAGCTTGCAGTACCACCGTAGCCCTTCTGGGCTCGGTGCCTGGAAAATCTGGAGTCGGCTTGGCCACTTTACTTTTCTACTTAAAAAGAGCAATTTCTCACGCCTGAGGTGTAGGAACCATGTCATTAAGGACACTGCCTGCTGTGTCTGGAATGGACTGTCCACAGGGGCCATCACCGCTGCCACCTCTCCCTGTAGCGGGAAGATTGAGGACAATGAATATTCAAGCTTCTGCACTGAAAGCACGCTGTGTGATCTGGCTGTTATGATTTCAGCGGTCTGCTTGTACAAGGGTTAAAATACAGTTCCTCCAATGGCTAGAGATTTGCAATGCTTGACTTGGAAATACATCTATCAAGAGAGCGTGTGGATCGTCACTCTCCTGTTTGAGACTTATCACACTCAGGACATCCGCATTCCAGAGAGTCACATGGAAAGGGCTTCAGTGACGTCATTCGGTTCAGTCCTCTTCCATCCATAGAGGCAACTTTGGGGTTGGCCAACTTGTGGCCAGGTGGCCGTTGACCTCCCTCAGACACCCAATGAGGATGGGCCAGGCAAACAGAAGGTGCCCAGTGAGTCTCACTGGGACAGCAGGTCTGGTGGGGGAGCTCTAAGCAAGGTTTGGTATGCAATTTCCCCCAGCGTGAGGGTCAGGACTGTAAATAAAAGATAAATGGACGATTGTCCCAGAAGACGGATCTGAATACTGGGCATGCTCTGATTTTCTCTGTGTGTGTGTGTGTGGGGGGGGAGTGATTGATAGACCCAGGCTCTCTCAGCCCACTTGGTGACCTCAGGGAAGTTGGCTATGTCTCTAGACCCCTATCTCCCCATTTTCAAACACAGTTTTTGTACAGCCTCCGGGAGATCACAGGCCCCTGACAAGGGTATGTCCAGGTAGTAGGGCCCAATGAAGGTGAGCATCCTAGAGGGCCAACACCCCAATCCCTGTCGGTTCTCCTTCACAGCCTTCCAAACGTTTCTGGGCAAAGAAGATGTCTCCCGAGAGCTGGAGGAGGTACTGGCTGAGAGCCGTGTGCAGAGGAACGTCCACCTGGTGTCCGTGCTGGAGCTGCTGAGGGCACCTTTTGTCCGCTGGCAGGTCATCACTGTCATTATCACCATGGCCAGCTACCAGCTGTGTGGACTCAATGCAGTGAGTACATTTCCCCACCCCAACACACACACACACACACACACACACACACACACACACACATCAGTATCAACAGAGAAACTGAGGGAGGGAGGCCAGAATGTGGGTGGCTCTGAATGTGAGACCTGCATGTCTGACTTCAAGACCCAGCTCTGTAAGCCTCTCCTGAGGCTTTCGTCTGTGGAACTTGCTGGTCCTCACTTCCCACCTCTGTAGAACGGGATAGGTTGGAGCAGACTTATCCACACAGCCCGCACAGTTGTCTCTTGCACTGTCACCTGTTGTCCTACTGTGTGTCCCTGGCTCTCAATAAACAGAGTATCATGGCTCTCAATAAACAGGCACGGGAAGACAAAGGGACAGAGGACCAAAATGATTTAAATAGAAGAAGCAGTTTTGGTGGTGCTGGCTTCATCTTGTTGGAGCCAGAGCTGAAGCCTCTCTGGAGGCTCCAGGCCTCTAACTCTCTCCAGTGTTCCAGAAGGTAAAATCCCCAAATCCAAGAAGTAAAGAAACCTTGGGATGTGGTCAGTTCTCCATCCACTTAAGGATGCAGACAGGCTTCTAGGCACACAGCACTAAGACCATTTAAGAGAGGGGGGAGAGAGAGAGGAAGAGAGGGAGGGAGAGAAAGGGGGAGAGAGAGAGAGAGAGAGAGAGAGAGAGAGAGAGAGAGAGAGAGAGAGAGGAAGGGAGGGGGGGTAGCTGTGGGGAGGACCCCCAAGGAGCCCAGATGATGGAGCTCAGCCTTATACCTGCCCAATGAGAGTCCAGCACCCCTGCTATTATGAGGTGTGGTCCTCAGGTGGAAGAGGGAGTGGCAGGAAGGCTCCTGTCCAGCAGGAGAAATGACTGCCTAGGAAGACAGCAGCCACACGTTCTCCCTGATTTCAGCATCTCCATCTCCAGATTCTATTTTTGGAACTCTGCTGTAAAATGAGATCACTCAGCTCCTTAGTCATTTCTGCCTTTTGCCTTGGTCTGGTTAAGTGAGAAGAACAACGTGGAGTGGGGAGTGCAGAGCTCAGCCTAGGCCCAGTTGGCCACGGCCCATCCTGCCATTTTCCTCCCTCGGACAGGTTCAAAGTCGGGTATATCAGACCCTCCTTGTTCCGAGGGGAGAAAAAGGATGCTCTGTTTCCTAAGGCTCAATCTTGGAGTCTTAAGGACATGTGGAGTTCTTGCTTAACGAGGCTGTTAGATGGAGAGCCATGACATTGCTGGGCAGATCCTTCTCCACCAGGACCTAATTTCCTATCTGCATATCCTGTAATGGATGAATTCTGCCAGGGTGGCTTCAAGCCCCACTGCACCAGAGGTGTGCCGGAAAAATCTATCTGGTGGGCTGCAGGCATGAGGGTGACTGTTTCCCGCTCCCCAGTTCATATGCCTGACGCAGGACAAAGAGCTTTGGACTTTGTCAGAAGCCTGGATTCCCACCTCACTGTTGTGTACCTAGAGAAAGCAACCTGGGTCATCTGCTCTCCCTGGCCTGACTATGCACTCAGCTGTGGTCCTGATCGCGTGCACACATAGCGCCTTGTGGGGCCAGGAGTTGCTGTTCTTCAGGCCTCACTGTTGGGCACAGAAACACTGCGACTTTTTTCAAAGGTTTCTAGCTAGAAGCAGTAGAAAGGAGATTTGAGCACTGATTGTCTGAATCTCAAGCTCTATGTACTTAAGCCCCAAGCAGTGAGGGACCTCAGAGCCCCCACGAGGTATTCCACGGCTGCTTCAGCATGTTAGAACCAGGGCAGGAAGGAACCTGTGGCCACCTGCAAAAGAGGAGGTGGGTGCAGCTGCTCACGCAGACTTTGTGAGGTGGGGGCAGCCGTGGCTCCATGGCTCCATGACTCTGAGTGTTCTAGACACTTCCTCCCTCATGTCACAAGGGCCTGAAACTGTCAAATCATATCACCTTCAGTTCACATAGAAGTCAAAGCGAAGGCAGTTACTTCCCCCTTCCTTGGAATGAGGTGTAGGGGCAGGGTGCTTCATGGATCAGGCAGAATGGGGCAGTTTAGCCCTGCAGACCTCACAGGCTCCAGGCTGGAACTGGGGCGGGGGTGAAGGGCAGCTCCTGTCTAGCGATGTCTAAATGCCTTCAGCAAGATCGCTTAGCCCTCTCCGTGGCCACCCTACAGTGAACACAGAATGTCATGCACAGTGACTCTTACCACTGACTTTCAACCTGCTGAGGATGCCCACGGCTGTGCCACTGCACAGAGAAAGGAAACTAGAAAAGAGAGGGGTCACGAAAGCCAGGGAGCAGGTGAGAGATTCTGAGCTGAGATGATGCAGAGCTGGAGAAAGCTTCTACAGGAAAATATATACCAAATGTGTGTGGGGGCTTCAAGCTCTGTCTCCCCGTGAGTGGAAGGCAGAGAGCATGGTGGCCCTAAAATCCAGTGAGTCGGGGTGACAATAAATAATCCTTTTTACCAAGTCTGCAATCCAACCGTGATGGGGTCTGGGAGACCATGGCTACCCAAAGGGGAGGGAGCTTGGGTGACAAATCCAGGGACACTGGGGGTTTGGAATGATAGGTAGCCTCAACCACACAAGAACTGGCAGGCTAGTGAGGGGCTGCCTCTGTTCCCTGCAAATTTGGTAGACTAAAGTCCCACCTCCCCCAGCCACTCAAATGGGAGGCAGATAACACAGGGCAGTGTCCCCTTGCTTCGTGTGAACGTTAAGACCCATCTCTGCCGACTGATGGCAAGGATCAGGACAGTAACTGATTTGAGCTGTGTCTCTGGGTGTTCATGAGGCCTCATGTAGAATTACCTGTCCCTGCAAACCTACCCAGCTGCGGGGTAGAAGTTTCTGAAACAATTGTTTGTAACAAGGTAGATTAGAAACAAGGGCTTCCGCACACAGGCGTCAGAGCAGCGTAGCCAGTGTTGAGCCTGAGCTGTGAGCGTCCATGGCTCTACCAAGAGCTGTCGCCGTCCCGGTGTTTTTGTATGTGAGGGGACCCAGTGAAGAAACTGCTGACAAGTCCATGATATGATTAAAGGTTTTTATTGTAGGAGAGAGAGAGAGAGAGAGAGAGAGAGAGAGAGAGAGAGAGAGAGAGAGAGAGAGAGAGAGAACACAGCGGGAGACCTCTGGAAGAGTCCAGAGCAGAGGGAAGAAGTAGACTGGATATGACCAGGGCTAGGCCAGCAGTAAAGTGGAGAACAGTAGAGATAACAGGATAGCAAGAGATAGAGAATGGAGCAGAGAGGAGTGAGAGAGTGACTAGTGAGGTTAGAGGAGGAGGTGAGAAGGACAGAACGTTAGAAAGGATCTTAAAGCGTGTAAGAGGAACTCGGGATACTAAGGGAGCCTAGAGTCCAGCATGGGCTTCGATATGCTGATAGGCACCTCAGGTAGCCATATGTCCCGTATGCCAGGGGTGTAGGAAATGATTCCCTTTGGTAGATGAAAACCAGTTTCACAAGCTCCTGAGCAATGCTGGCTTTTATCTAACAGTCAGAGACCCTCCTAGAGTCCAGGTTGAACTCATTTCTGGATATTGGAATTGCCTTTGGGGGTTCAGGGGGTAGGAATTTCCTTTGGAGCTGACTGTACATGTACAGTTACACAGGCCTCAGGAGCATCGTTTGTACCGTATATACTGTGGTAGATCCACCATGACAGTTACACAGGCCTCAGGAGCATCGTTTGTACCGTATATACTGTGGTAGATCCACCATGGCAGTTCCTAGTGGGTGAGAGTAGAATGTTTTGTGGAGTAGAAACAGTTTTTGATCCTCACAGAGCATGCTTATCCAAGGTTAGTTACTGACTCGAGAGGACTACTGAGACTCCAACCATCACGTTCGCCAGCCTTGACCACAGAAGAAGAAGCGGGGAAGCCACATGGCCACATGGCACAGCTCAGCTCTGAGTCTGGACTCAATGGCATGGTGTAGAGACATCCTCACACCTTATTCTGACTGAGGGAGGAGGCTGAGGTCTCTGGATGACATGTCTTTTCTCTTCTGCTTTACAGATCTGGTTCTATACCAATAGCATCTTTGGGGAATCTGGGATCCCTCAGGACAAGATCCCATACATCACGCTGAGCACCGGTGGAACTGAGACCCTAGCTGCCATCTTCTCTGTAAGTCACTGAGGGCTCCTGAGAATGCCCCAGGGGCTAAATGACAGACTCAGGGGAACTAAGAGGGCGGGCCTTGTCACAGGACCCTGTCTGGCTTTGGGAGAGGCTCAGACTCCATGAGTCTCCACCCACCTGGGCTCTTGCTCATTGTATCTCCTTTCCTTGCATCTCCAATGAAAACAAATGAATCCTAGCTCTTGCTGTGTGATGTGGGGCAGTGTGCTCAGCTTCTCTGAGCCGTCGCTGCTTCTCTCTTGAGGAAGTGCTCACATTTGTGATCTTGTGGGAGTGTGGTCTGTGCTTCACTCTGTAGGCACACAGTGCCCCTGAGAGGCTTCAGAATGAAAGCGGGATGGACTGACATCTCTGACATGGCAGAGTGTGGTTTCTGACCTCGAAGGAGATGCTCAGATGTTCAGTCTCCCCCACTAATCTCCATGACAAGGGTGATGTCAGCACAGCAGGCTGATTCCCCCATCCCACTGCCCACTTTTCGGTAGACTCAGTTTTCCTCCTTGCCTTCCCAGAGCGTTCTAACAAGCTACTTCTTTTTTTTTTTTTTTTATGCATACAATATTCTGTCTGTGTGTATGTCTGCAGGCCAGAAGAGGGCACCAGACCTCATTACAGATGGTTGTGAGCCACCATGTGGTTGCTGGGAATTGAACTCAGGACCTTTGGAAGAGCAGGCAATGTTCTTAACCACTGAGCCATCTCTCCAGCCCCAACAAGCTACTTCTTAAGAAGGATCTGATCTGCTTTTTGTTAAAAGGGGAAAACGTTTCAGTGCTCTACCACCTGTGAGCGTCACCAAAGCCATCTCTAGCTGTAGGCTGCTCCAATCCCACTACTAATTCTGACCTTGATCAACAGAACTCGGTCAGTCTGGGGTGGAAACAGCAGAGGAAGCAGAAGAGGACTTGGAGTTTGGGTTCTTTTGGGGGGGAGGGGGTTGTTGCTATCAGAAACAAACATCAACTTAGGGAGGTACATTTATAAAAACCCAGGAAAAGTTAAAAGAATGAAGAGATGTTTGGAAGAGAGCGGGAAAATGCCCGCTCGTCTCTACACTATGTATAGCTTTCTCTGTTCCTAGGAGGCAGTGGCCTTGTCTACATCCCACTGGGTCCTGCTTTTCTAACAGCGGCTGGTGCAGACTGACTTCCCTCCTAGTATTGATTCAGCAGCTTTAATGGGGTGTACCATGTAACCAGTGTATATGAGAGTTTGCTTTGGTGATGAAGGCTGTATCGGTCCTCCAAAGCCTGTGTTCCATTTCCTTTCTAAGCTTCCATCTGTGGGGTGGGGATTTTGGCATCTCTACTCAAAACATGATGGTCTGAGTTCCCATGCCAGCTCTGCTTCTCCTGAGACAGGTGACTCTCTAAGCAAATTGTATGATGTCCATGTGGTTCACTTTCTCCATTTCTATAAGGACACGTTTCTGCCTCGTGGATTAGGGAGTAGACAGATGACATTAAGTGACTGGCAGGGCTGGAGGATAGTGCATGCTCAGCAGGTGCCCACCATTCTATGTGGGCAGATTAAGTCACACCCTGTCACCTGAAGTGAGGCTGTGGTACACGTCCTTGTGTCCTGGCAGAGAAGAGCATAGCAGGGATACTGTGTGAGTGCTCGCACGTGTGTGTGTGTGTGAGCATGTGTGTGTGCTCTTGAGTGTGTTCATGTTTAAGCTTCAGAACTGGACAGCTCTACATCCCGTCCAGAACATCCACTTACCAGCGGTCTATCTTAGGGAAATTACCATACACCTCTGAACGGATCTGCACATTTATAAAATCAACTTTTAACCCTTGCCGTCTGTGGCAAGTCCGCAGGTCTGAAGTCATAGGCCGTGAGATGCTGTCAGAGGGAACGTCACAGGTGGAAGTGAGGACTTGAGCTGTGGTGGTCCCCTGGGCCTATCTGGGCAGACAATGGACCTTTGAAGTGATAAAAGGTCAGAGGTCAGGATGTGAGGCGGAAAAGGGCACCGCTGTTGCCTGGAATGGGGGTATAGAATCCGGGAAGCTTCTGGGAACTGGGAAAACCAGTCTTTTCCTCCCCAGGGTCTCTACTGTGGGTTTTGTCCTGTGAGACCTGCTCTGGACCCCTGGATATCCAAACCATAAACTGTTACCTTTGAGTTGGTTTAAGCTACATGTTAAAGTAACAACAAGCTACTTTAACACTGCAAGAAAGGGTTGTCATGGAAACAGAAATCAAAGCCTATGGCAGCTCCTTCTCCCTCCCCCAAACTCAACATTCAGCAAGTCCTCTGCTCTTCCCAAAGTTTGTGTGACCTGATTTTCAGGGCCACTCAGACAACTTCATCCGACCCTTCGGGGTAATTTCCTATCAATAAAAGGGCACCTGGCTTATTTTTTCCACTCCCTTTGCTGAGATTTTTGACAGTCTACTTAAATGGCTCTGAGGTATAGTAACACCGAGCCAGAAAGGCACGCTCGTTCTTTTGATCTATGGTTAATTTGGGCAGCGGCCATCCCTCAGCAGCTTAGTGGCTGTAAAATATTGCCATCTTGCAGAACAGCTGGCTTTTCCAGGCTTGTTCTTTGGGCTTCAGCTGTGCTGTTCAGATGAGTGAACTTCCAGGGAGTGTCATTCACGCATGAGGATACCCATCCACTGTGGTGCCGGCAGGGGACTGGGGAGCTGGGGTTGTGTGGACCCAAAGCCATAGAAAGCCAGCTCGGCCTCTGGTAAGAGGCAGGGCTCTATTTTTAAGAGTCAGGCTCAGGATCCACAGCAATGTGGTCTTTTTTATGGCAGCACAGCTTGGGGCTATGCTGTGCTGAACTAAACACAAATCTGTAAGGATTTCTGAACTTCCCAGGGGTCCTGCCATTTCAGCCTCACTGTCTGTGTTCTCTGCGGTCATGGTGTTGTAGAACTTTAAGACAATTCTGAAGCCATTTTCCGACAACTCTCAGTACTTCCTCCCCCCCTCCCCTGGGAACCAAGGACATAACAGCTATGCATGCACGTACTGAGATGTTGGAAACTTTCCATCTCCCTGAATAGGGGCATGATAACCCTTAGATGTTGACTCAGTTACTGATGTTTTGACTTAGTCCCTGGGAAGGGGGAAAGTGACCCTCAGAAGTTTCCCTTTACCTCATCTGATCTGGCAACCACTCTCCAGCCAATTATTGGTAATAGCCTTTTTGAATAAGCCAATCATAATAGTTAAAGAACAACCCCCAGATACCCCTTACTTCTGTGGTTTTTCCCTTTAAAAATAGCCTGTACCAGACACTCAGGGTCTTCTAGCCTCCCGACTGCTGGAAGACCCTGTCATGACAGAATTAATAAAATCCTCATGCTTTTACATCAGCTGTGGTGAGAGATGGTCTCTTGGGGCGACTCCTCCTCCTCCTCCTTGGTGATTGGACACTAGGGTCCAACAGTGTGAGACTCCAGATCTAATGTATGCAGAGCGTAAAGGTGAGGGTAACAGGGCGCAGGAAGGGCTTATTTGGGCTCATTGGTCTCCTGGCCCTGTTGCTGGTTACAACCTGGCTAACTTTGAGGCCAGATGTCCAGTTTTCCTGACCCCCACTTTCTTCTTAGGGAGTAGTGGTGTTAACTGGTCATCTTAACAGGTGTTGCTAGGGACCACCTAATCTCAATGGAGACTCAGTAGCCTGTTATTTGGGACATGACTCCTTAATACTCACATGCCAAAATCCCCAGTCCCTCCCAATGTGACCTCATCTGAAGAGAGGTTATTGCAGGTGTTGCTAGTTAAGCTAGGATTGGGTTATACTGGAGTTGAGCCCACAAATTCATTGTCTTTACAAAAAAAAATGATATTTTGGACACAGACTATTGGAGTCTAGATGCTAAAAAAAAAAAAAAAAAAAAA